AGTAACCGGACCAGGCAATGTGATGTAGTCATTGTGGTAGTTCGCCTTGGCTATAGACACATCTGGCAGGTTAGTGAGGCTGAGCCACTACCAGAATACTCAGATTGTAAACTCTGTGATAAACCTTTAATGCATTCACTAGAACACTATATTGATGAATGTGAAGCCATAAAGGACTTTAGACCTCCTGGCCTCTTGTACCACCAACTGTGTAACTATGTCATTGACTCAGGTGTTCTGGACGACATCCTAACAATTTATCCAAAATTTGCTTGTCCATTTTAAAGAATGAAGAACAGTTTTTATTTATATAAATTTTAAGTTGCAACATTTATGAACCCATTCCTAATCTTCTTTGGCAGTACACAATATAAATTTAGATTTGCATATTCGTACATTGAAACAGTATATTGTCTAAGGTAGTTGATTGTAACCATGATATATATGTGCTTCAGCCTACAGTTTAGACCTATTGTCTTGTGTATGACCCTCTGTCCTGCGTGACAGTGAATACCACCATTATCCTCACTTTAATAAGACTTAATTGGAATCCTCAGATTAGGCAAAATTGTAATTAATTTTAACAATAAAGATGTTAATAATAATAATTTAAACCCTGCCAACTAGCCTTGTGTCTGTTGCGTTTCAATTGAACTATTCTGACCTTTTAATTCTTGGTCGAATCTGGGCTTAATGTTGTGGATAGAGGTGACTTTAACCAGACTTAAACGGTGCTTAAGTCTTGGCTTTTATCTTAGAGAAGAATTCTTTAAGATAATTATTAAGTTGTTAACTTCCCGGACAGATAACGAGTAATTCCTTATGTTCTTTCGACTCAATTGTGTTTCCAGGTTCCACCTGTGTCCTCTTCTCCTGCTTCCTCTTATGTCTGTTAAGAAACAATCCTTGTCCACCTTAACTGTTCTCCTCGGCATCTTCTACGTTATGATCATATCCCCTCTGTTCCTTCTATCCTCTTGAGCTGTGAGATTTATTTCTATTAGTCTATCATCGTAGATTAAGACTCTTAACTCTGGTACCAGTCTTGCTGCCAATCTTTGTCCTTTTACACTTTGTTTTATGCTTTACAAGGTATGAACTTTATGCCGGTGCTGCATATTTCAGTATTGGTCTGACAATTGTTGTGTACATTTCCTTGAAGACGTCCTGATTTAAATTTCTAAAAGATGTTCTTATATTTGCCAGCGTCTCGTATGCTGCTGATGTTATCTAGTTTATGTGTGGCTCTGGTGTGTGTACTGGAACTATATCAACTTCCAAATGTTTCGTTCTTTTTGAGTCCTGTAATTGACTTCCCTTTATGGGGTAGATGCCTTTGGTCTTGACTAATTATTTTCCATCTTCATTAACTTACATTTGTTGGAACTGAATTCCATCAGCCATTTGTCTGACCTCTCCTGGAGCTTGTCTAGGTCCTCCTGTAACTTCCTGTGGTCCTCCTCTATTGTACATTCATCGTCAGCTCTACATCAACTCAAGCTCAAAATTTCAAACACTAGCCAGGATCATCCCTGACGTAGGTTCGAACCCTCATCACGGCCCCTTGTGGATTTCTTCATTACCAAGTTTGAGTTCACTCCGACGGGTAGGCCGTTCCCATAAGGTAGGAGGAGCAGCAGTGACAGAGCCTTGTTGGACCCCACTTGTGGGACCCCCACTTGTGGGACCCCCCCACTTGTGGGACCACCCACTTGTGGGACCACCCACTTGTGGGACCCCCCACTTGTGGGACCCCCCACTTGTGGGACCCCCCCACTTGTGGAACCCCCCACTTGTGGGACCCACCCACTTGTGGGACCACCCACTTGTGGGACCACCCACTTGTGGGACCCCCACTTGTGGGACCCCCACTTGTGGGACCCCACTTGTGGGACCCCACTTGTGGGACCCCCACTTGTGGGACCCCACTTGTGGGACCCCACTTGTGGGACCCCCCACTTGTGGGACCCCCACTTGTGGGACCCCCCACTTGTGGGACCCCACTTGTGGGACCCCTACTAGCCTGAAACCTCCTTTCTGACTGTGACTCTTTGGCTTCTGTCGTTCAGGTACTCCCTCACCCAGTTGAGTGTGTTCCCAGCTATACCAGCCTGGGTCTCCAGCCTAATATAGCACACGACACATCACACACATCAGGCAATGTGTATTCATCATTTATATCCCTGCAGCCACCCTGCAGCCACCATGCAGCACCCTGCAGCACCATGCAGCACCCTGCAGCACCCTGCAGCACCCTGTAACACCCTGCAACACCATGCAGCACCCTGCAGCCACCCTGCAGCCACCCTGCAGCACCCTGCAGCACCCTGCAGCCAGCTTGCAGCACCCTGCAGCACCCTGCAGCGCCCTGCAACACCCTGCAGCACCATGCAGCACCCTGCAGCACCCTGCAGCACCATGCAGCACCCTGCAGCCACCCTGCAGCCACCCTGCAGCACCCTGCAGCACCCTGCAGCACCCTGCAGCCACCCTGCAGCACCCTGCAGCCACCCTGCAGCACCCTGCAGCACCCTGCAGCACCATGCAGCACCCTGCAGCCACCCTGCAGCCACCCTGCAGCACCCTGCAGCACCCTGCAGCCACCCTGCAGCACCCTGCAGCCACCCTGCAGCCACCATGCAGCACCCTGCAGCACCATGCAGCACCCTGCAGTACCCTGCAGTACCCTGCAGCACCCTGCAGCACCATGCAGCACCCTGCAACCTCCTGCAGCCTCCTGCAGCCTCCTGCAGCCACCCTGCAGCCACCCTGCAGCACCCTGCAGCACCCTGCAGCACCTTGCAGCACCCTGCAGCACCCTGCAGCCACCCTGTAACACCCTGCAGCACCATGAAGCACCCTGTAGCACCCTGTAACACCCTGCAGCACCCTGCAGCACCCTGCAGCACCATGCAGCACCATGCAGCACCATGCAACACCAT